GGCTCTGTGTCACACATCGCTTCTGGTATGGAAATTTCTGTCATATAAAAACATTACGGTATGTCCCCATCCACCTTATTCACTGGATCTGGCACCGTGCGACTTCTGGCTCTTCCCCAAAGTCAAAATGACCATGAAAGGCAAATGTTTTGAATAGATTCAGGACATCGAGGCAGCCACAACAGTGCAACTAAAGACACTCACGAAAGAGGACTTCCAGAACTGCTTCAGAAAGTGGCAAGAATGATGGCATAAGTTTGTTTGAAGCAAGGGGGAGTATTCTGAGGGGGAGTAATGGCAAAGTGCGTTTTGCAGTAATAATTTTTTTTAATTTAACATTCACCATATTGTTTGATCACACCTCGTACATACAGTGAGAAAAACTGGACTCCTGCTTAGGCTAGAAAGAGGGTCCTCAGAACTCAGCAAACTATCATGATATGACTGGAGAATGATGCAACATTTAAGGAACTGCAAAGGATCCTGCTGTTTCAAGATCTTTGTAAGACTTAGATTGTGGAGAAGGGAGATTCATTGGTCAGGCTAGTAATTGCCATGTAATTTCAGATTGTGTACATACAGCTGGAAAAGAATAAAAATCTATTTAAGGTGAAAACAATATCTTTGTTTTGCTATGACATATAAGATATTACTTAAGTTTCATAAAATTCTGTAGTGCATTATTGAAAAAAACCCAAGCCTTCATTATTTTCCTAATTCCCATCTTTTATGTACTCAGTGGTTATGTGTATAGTTCTCACATCCTCAAATAATTCCAAATTCACATTGACTGATCCCAAAGAGTGTGAATTTATGATCTCTTAATATACTGTAATGCCACATTCCTGGGTAAAAGCACCAAATGCCTAAATTTAAGAAAACAATGCTGAAGAAGACAATGTATCTAATTAAACATTTAAAACACTTACTTATACATTTTTCAATATCAGTCACCATGTTTTGAATTTTTATTGAAAACTCCAATCTGTTGGGAGCAATAAAGAGATTCACAGGGAATTCTAAAAATCTAAGAGAGAAAAAAATAAAAGTATATATATATAAGAATGGAGTAACTAACATAAAATATAATTACTTGTAATTTCAAAAATGTTTACTACTTACGCATTATGCATGTATTCATTCTCAAGCTCGGTTGCGATGTCTATGTCTATCAGAATGCATTGAAAGAAAGAGAGAATAAAAAAATTGGTTGATATTTATGTCAGTTAAATAGCAAGTTGATATGCATCAGTACTTCCCAAACACCCTAAGAATAAACTGCGAAGTCATTTGCAAGATGTACACCCCACCCCAGATTCTGGTTAAGGTGGTCTCAGATGGATGGAGGATGGATGGAGTCTGAGAGTCTGCATTTTTAACAAGCACCCCAGGTGTTCATCNTTACATGTATGATATTCTCAACATATGGTAAGCATTCTGACTGATAATTAAGACTTAAAACACTGAAAATACCAATGCGTTTCTCAATGGTCATATCAACAATATGATTAAGATAGTTCATACAGTTAGCTAGTATACTTTTAAACTGTGTTGAAGTTAATTGTTCCGTAGGTATTTCCATACTCATGACTTTAGCCTTTGCTACCATAGCACAATATTTTATAAACTTGTGGCTGTAAGCATTAACTAGGCCCATTGAATTACCAATAACAGTCAGGAGACTCACAATCTGTAAATAAAAATGTTAAAAAGTTAGTCAGAATTTTACGAGCAAAAAAACTATGGTCTGTATGTTAATAATACTGTTAAAATATGTAATCATTTTACGTGAAGTTCATTTTGTTACGAACCTCTACACTAAAGAAATATGTTGGAAAAATAATAAGACTTTAATAAATTTAGATCACTCTTTTATATCTGGCATTTATGTAAAGGTTGACAAGGCTATTTAACTATATAATTAGCATGTTATTTTGAGCCAAGTACTAGAGACACCAATCATTTATTCCTTTGCCTGTCACCCTGTTTTAGTGTATATGCTCTAAACCCTAGATAAAGCCAGTTCTATCAGCTATGTGACCTTACCCATTCCGAAGGCATAGTTACTCTGGACAGGGTAGAATCCTGATCCAAGCTAAGACAATGACATTCTCTTGTGAACTTGAACAAAAATACCCAGTTAGATGGTAACGGGAAAGGCCAGGACCATGGCAAGTCCACATATTGGCAAGGCAATTGTATGAGGAAACCATAAAAGACAAAGTTCATTTTCATAGTGGAAGTTGGGGGGAAAAAAACAACAACAGATGAACAAAGATGAAGTATCATGAGGAAGACAAATGAAGAGATAAGTTGGGAATGATTCTCAAATTGCTGTAAATTACGACTTTAATTTTTCATTAAATCCCTTTCATCTAAGAATTGCAGTGGGTTTCTGCTCCTTAAACTGAATATTCCCTAAGACAAACTGTTTTTAAACTTACTTTAGTTTGGTAGGCAGGATCTATTTCAAAAAGGATCTGACAATCTGGCCATTTGGTTTGCTTCTTATAGTCCATTGTACTTCCTGTCTTATTAGGTAAATCCATCATTGAAATCAAATCAGTAAAGACAGACAGGCGGGAATCTTGGTAAAGAGGAATAATTTTGGCTAAAATATAAAAATAAAAAGTTAGTATTTTCAGCAGTCCCATTAAAAA